TACCTCTGTATGTTTTATAAACTTAGAAAGTTGAAACTTTAGATTTCTTAATGTACCCTATGAATTGATAAGGGAAATTGAAAATTTGGATTTCCATGGTAGTCTCATTGTATTTTTTAATGACATGGCATTGGTATAAATGTATATACTGAGTTTGTGTGTTAAGTGAATCCGATACGTGTTTGAACTTTCACGAGGTCATATTCTTGCCAGAATTTAGAAAACCTGTGTCCCCCTTATTCTCATACCAGTACTCCTTAAGCCAAAAGCTTTCGTCCATTGCCTCCCTGCTTAATTTGCAAAAGAGCCAAGGTAAAGTTATTGATATACGATAGATTATGATATTAATGTATCTCAACTGCATGAAGCCATTCTTAACTAGCTCATATATGTACATTGCCTTGAGGATTTGGCATGGAATGGTGTTCTTCGATAACCTTACCTAGGTAGAGGGGCTTGGATAAAATTATCTCAGAAGTACCTTTTAATTTTGTGATCTTATAAAAGTAGATAGAAGCTTTCATTAAAGACCAGAGAATATTAAAACAATTACTGTACTTTCTTCAGTGTATGGCACCTTTCATCCAATCATTTCAACATATTTGTACAACATTCAACGGCCGTTTCTGTAGATAACACTTCAGTGAAGGTAGAAGGTAGCATTGCAGTAAGCATAGCATTGCAAAAGAGAGACTTTTGACTAGGAACCGTGCCATACTTTTACTTGGATGGCTGTGTAGGTTTCTCAGTGGGAGTGAGCACCACTTATTTTAAGAGAAAGGCAGCTCAAATAAATTCCTTTTTTGTTTCCTTTTACTAGTTATACCCAGTGAACTAAGCTACTTTCCCTCCTCTCCCCATGAGCCCCAAAACAGTTTTATTAATAGGAATCTATGATGTTTGTGTTCTTAAAAAAATCAGGGTGGTCTTAGATGTCTGTCGTCCATTCCGGCATTTCCCTTTATACAGCCCTTTTGAATATTCTGTTTAAAAACTGGCATTCTGACAGCTTTTCTTTGGCCTAGTGCCTGAGTTGCATATTGAAGCAGCAAATTAGGAATGTTAAGACATCCTCCAAAGAAAAATATTTGTTATGAAAGTAGAGCTGATGTGACACTTAGAACTAGAGCTTCCTAACTTGTCTAAATGACAGTTAATGATCTTTTTCTTTTCTTTTATTATTTTAAATGGGGTGGGGGGACGGGCAAGAAATGCCCAGAGGCTGAGATTGGGTTTGGTTCACCAAACCATTAAATGTCAAATGTACTCCACTGATAATACATCTTTTGCCTCTTTTTAGGAGCTAATTTTGTTACTCGAAAAATTAGCCGGTCAGTAGCTAAGATTTACCTTGGACAACTGGAATGCTTCAGTTTGGGAAACCTGGATGCCAAAAGAGATTGGGGCCATGCCAAGGACTATGTGGAGGTAGGAACTGACTCGTTACGTTCTTTAATGTACCTGTGCTCGTCGATGTTTTCGGTGCTGGGACTACAGTGCGTGAGTACTGAGAGGCGGCACGCAGACCTTGCTAAGGCAGGTGTTGGAACTCATACTGCTTTCAGTTCAAGGCTTGCTGATTTAGGAGCACATGTAGCTCACACTGAGTGTTACTTGGATGAGAAATCTTTCACAAATATTCTTTTATTTTTTAAAAACAAAGTGCTGGTCAGGGCTGTGGATGATGGTAGATGGAAGGAAGTTTGAGTGGTGCTCCTCCTTCCTTCCTGAAGCTGCTTACCCCTCATCCCCTTTCACCTTCTCCCGTGTCGCTCCCTAATACGCACATGACTAACTGTGAAAGTTCTCAGATCTTTAAGAAATACTACCCAATTTCAATTCATGTAACCCGAGTCCTTCAGATTTACATTATTCTACTAAATTCTACCAAGAGCGATGTTCTTATGGAAGTCCTGCTTTCTGCCACCGCAGTCTGGTTAATACGCCAGATGCTTCTTAATGTGTCAAATTGCACGCTGACGAGCGGCGCCCATTACGGCGGGGGGGGGGGGGGGAGAGAAATGTTAATAATGATACTATTGCAGAATAATGCATAGAATTAAAGGGAAATTTAGATTTTCATTCTTGGGATTCCTATATGCATTAAGTTTTGTTTTTGGTTACATATCTATGTATACAAGTAGTGTGATTTTTATAAATAAATGATTACATTTTACTTTGCCCTGATCAGCATGTTTTTATTTTCTATTTTTTTTAAATTTTTATTTATTTTCTTTTTTTTAATTTCAAAATATTATGGGGGTACAAACATTTTGTTTACATATATTGCCTTTGCATCGCCCAAGCCAGAGCTACAAGCGTGCCCATCCCCCAGACAGTGCGCTCGCTCCGCACCCATTAGTTATGAATTTACCCATCCCCTCCACCCCCCGCCCGTCTGCCTGGCACCTGATGAATGTTACTACCATGCGAGCACCTAAGTGCTGATCAGTTAGTACCAATTTGATGACGAATACATGTGGTGCTTGTTTTTCCATTCTTGTGATACTTCACTTCGAAGAATGGGCTCTAGCTCCACCCAGGATAATAATGAGGTGCTAGTTCACCATTGTTTTTTCTGGTTGAGTAGTATTCCGTGGTATACACATACCACATTTTATTAATCCTCTCATGTATTGATGGACACTTGGGTTGGTTCCACATCTTTGCAACTGTGAATTGTGCTGCCGTAGACATTCGAGTGCAGATGTCTTTATTATAAAATGACTTTTTTTTCCTTTGGGTAGATGCCTAGTAGTGGGATTGCTGGATCAAATGGTATTTCTATTTTTAGTTCTTTGAGGTACCTCCAAATTACTTTCCACAAGGATTGTTCTAATTTGCAGGCCCACCAGCAGTGTATGAGTGTTCCTATCTCTCTTCATCCACACCAACATTTGTTGTTTTGGAACTTTTTGGTAAAAGCCATTCTCACTGGAGTTAAGTGATACCTCATTGTGGTTTTGATTTGTGTTTCCTTGATGATTAGAGATGTTGAGCACTTTTTTATATGTTTGCTGACAGTTATTCTGTCTTCTTTTGCAAAGTTTCTGTTCATGTCCTTTGCCCACTTTTTAATGGGGTTGTTTGATTTTTTCTCGTTGATTTTCTTAAATTCTATATAGATTCTGGTTCTGTGGCCAAGCATGAATGAGCATGGTAGTGACGTCCTTTTTCCTGGTATTGCCTGTCCTTGTTCAGGTGCCCACAGATTTCCTGTGCTCAGACAACTATTTCTGTCCTGCATAATTCCTCTATGGGAAACCGGATCTGTTTCCCTGGATCTGGCTTCCTTGTTCATCCATGTGATTCAAAAAGAAACTTGAATATTTAGAAAAGAAAGCAAATAAATTCTCTTGCTAATGCAGGGGTTAGCTTCGCTTGTGATTTTATGTTTATTTATAACAATTAAAAATGTATGTGTACTTGAGCATCTAATACTGATTTATATCATGGACAAAAAAGTTCTGATTTTAAATTTTGAACAGTGCAACATTTAGATCTTTTAAATATGTTCTTCTAACCTATAATTACAAAGAAGCAAATTTTATGGCAGCAGTCCTTAGGTGTATTTTAACAATATTACATCAAAACATATATAGGTCCACACTTGTAGAAATTACAAGAGAATAAGAGAAAGGAAATGTTGGCAGGAATAGCTGAAACTTTCTTTTGTCTAACCTAATAGCCCTTCCTACCGAAAAATATGAGGCAAGTTTTGTGAAAATAAATACGTTGTTTTTTCAATAATATTTTGTTGTATGACCTTTTAGCTATCTGCATATACTTAGAACTATGTGGGTACTCCTCTCTATCGAAACTCTTCTCCAGATTCAAGACCCAAATAGATTAAGTTTCATTCTTTTTTTTTTTTTTTTGCACTTATGTAAAAAAGAAGTTTGTGTTGGAATTCAGAAATCAAATAGATTTTGATTGTAGAGAAATACTATACCAAAATGCTGATAGATTTTTGTCACTGGTTATGTTTATTTTCTTCTTTATACTGTCTATATTTTTCATGTATTGAAATAAACCTTTGCAATGGGGGTGGGGAGAATGACATTTTAAAAATAGACCCCAAAAAATCTAATGAAAAGAATGAGGCTGCTAAGTAATGAGAAAGTCTTTTGTGAACCAGTGGATCTGAAAGAAAGGCCGCCTTCTCCCTTCTCAAATGCCCAGGCTAGCACTGCTGGAGGGTGTAGTCCAAATCTTGGCACAAAGGGCCCACATTTGAATTCATATAAAATAAAAATATTTTACAAACGTTTTGGCTCAAATACTTCAAAAAGGTCATTCCAAATTAAGTCATTTTTACTATTGCTTGACAAGATGATGTCAGTACAGTGTGCCCAGAAGCCAAAATTCCACACAAGAGTAAGACACTCTTTTAACAGAAATGTGAAATTGTCAGATTCCATAGGGAGACATGTAGAAAGTTAAGTCATTCTTCTTGGCATCCAAGACTTGATTTGCTCTACAATACAAGTAAGTGGGTTTTATGTATTAAGGATTCTCCTGGGGTTCTAATATGTTGATGATGTAAGAAGCATTTTATAGTTCTCATTTACATGTTCTGAAAGAACTCCAAATTTCTTGATTTCTGAAAAGGTACCATTATTAAGTAAGAATTTATAATTTGCTACTCTCCATTTTAAGAAATATTATCATTCTTTGCAATTTTAAATGTATTAAAATAAGGTTACTTCAGAGATTTATGATTAAAAGTAAATTTGTTGCCAAAATTAAAGTCAAGGTCATAAAAATGAAAAAAGAGAAGCATTGTTTATTTAAAACACGTGTATCCTGACACTGTAAGCAGCTTTAGAGTAAAGATGTTTGCAAACATGGATCAAACAAGCCATAATGGCATCTCATTTATACATGTATTAATTATGTTAAATATAATCCCTCTGATTTGTACACAAAAATATTGGTAAATCTTTAGATTAAGGTACTTATGCTTTTTACTTTTAGATGAATTTCCCTAATGAGCAGTAGAGAGCATTTTCTCCTTGTGCTGTGAGGTGGGGTGCAGGTCACCCTAGCTGTGCCAGTGAATTGCTCCTGAGCCTTAGACAAGTTGTTATATCTCAATTTACCCATCTGTGAAAAGGACATAATAACAGCACTGTAAAAAAATAGTATTAATGTGCTATACATATATGATTAGAATTTACCTCTGTCTTGTAAACATTTTTGCAATAATTTATACCAAGTCATTTCCTGTTGTTGATTCTGATTCATTAACATCCATTTATAGTCTTTCTTCCTAGATCAAAATGCTTTAAAAGTTATTTAAATGGGTAAAAAGTATTTTGATTTGAAATGAAAATAATATATAAAAACTATATTAAATTATCTTGTGCTTCAGAATAAACAGGTCATAATCAGATCCCTTCCAATGTTTTATTACATTTTTAAACATACAGAATAATGGAATAAATTTTACCAGGAATACCCACCACCCAAATTCTATAATTAACATCTACAATTAACTGTTGCATTTTGAAAATAAAGTACTAGTTAAACAATTGCTATGGTGCAAATGGCTCACAGCTGTCAATACTCAATTTACACAAACATAAGTTATCAATCATTTGCATTTCTTATGGGATATAGATAGATAACAATTCAAACTTTTAAAATATTTTCTTCTTTAATATTTTCCTGGTCCCTCCACAACCTACTTGCATGCCTGCTTCCCTCCATATACACTGAAGCAACTCGTGGTGTTGACGAGAACACATTGAGGGAACAGTCAGTATTGTAGCAGTGGTGGCTGAAAACAGCAAAGGAGAGAACCTCTAACTTCTCAGGGTGACATTGTTTGTTCAATATATATTCTGTCGAGCACCTGCCATGGTCACAGTTCCAGTTGCCATAAATGACAGTCTTCTGAGCATTGTCGAAAGCCACACGAGCCTGGAAAATGCTACATTGCACAAAGTTAAGCAGATTTCTTTACCACAGGACTGAGTTGCCAAAACACGTGATATGTGAATGTGTACTATCGCCAGATGAGATTGATACAGGGTTCCCCAAACTTATTTGGCCTTGGAATTCTTTGAATGAAAAATTAGTATTAACATCTAGCAGTAAAGAGTTGGAAAATGGTGCCATCTGCTTAAATAAAATTTATGGTAACAGTCTGGTTAACAAGGTCCTGCGGTGGTCCCACTTTGACAAAAGTATCTGGAACACAATTGTAGCCAGAAAATATTGAGAGGTAAGTTAATTAGTAGAGGCTGGGCCAGAAGTATCTTTAAGATTTCACCACTTACAGAAAGGTCCCTTGCTCTTGCGAGACACAGGTAGTCAAGAGAGTCAAACTCTTCCGAGGACTCAGCAAAAGTCATTCCCAAGATGGCAAGAGGCTCTCCTGGCAAGAGCCAACCCCGCAGATGCTCCCGAAGGGCCCCGCGGGC